TTCCCCCCCCCCCCCATCAACATGGTAGCGGAATTAATTGTTAGAATTTCCCTGGAGAATCCCCCGCTGAGCATCCACGACCAAATTACTCCACTCCTGAACGTGGGTGCTCAGGCTGCTCCGCGTATCCTGCGAGAGGGGGGGGGGCAAAATTCTGCTCAAGACAACAACTGCTTAGGATAAGTTGAGCAATAAGACCAGAGCGATCCCTGCCTCGCTATCCGTGAATTTCTGCAATATCAGGGGACTTCATTCTTACCTAAACGCCGTCCACTACCATCGCGAGACGGCGAGGCCGGTGCTGCTCTTCTGACCGAGAGGCAGGTGTCCTCTCCGGCTGATGCTTCGTATCTCTCCTACTCGGGGTATAAACTGGAATACTCCTTTGCGCCTCGAGCTGAAGTTTGCGTATACGTCAGAGAGGACATCTGTTCTCGACGCCTCGGCAGTCTTGAAGGTTCAGTTCAGCTATGGTTTGGTCGCTCCTGTAAAATAACATCATGCTATAAACAGGAGTGCTAGCAAGCCTGGGATGACGCATCAACGTCCCGGGATGAAAACACCAGCGCCCTGAAACAGAAAGAAGTACAATTCCGCTTCCAGGTCCTTCAAAAGAGTCATTGCCAAGGCAAAGTCAGAGCACATAGACAGAATTGGCGAGGAACTAGTTCGCCTTCCTTCCGTAACCTCTTCTATAAAAAAACGTGTTAAAAAAAGACGTTATCAATTTTAATACGTTGTTTTATTTAAATAAGTTTTTATTTTGTGGTACAGCAGACATATTATACTTGTGGCACAAATAGATCGGCTCGACAAGGTCTGGATCTCGTTCTCACAGAATACCAGCGTAAAATAGCAGCCTAATACTGCTGCTATTTCGTATGGTGAGTGTAGAGAACCAGAGATCCTTTTTACTGGAAACGAGGCATTCTCTTTTAGTCCTCAGGGGTGACAACACATCTGCATTTTGATTCTAAATCAAGGATAAATGTAGACGTCTATGAGCCACAGCATCTACTTACCATCAGGTAGACTGTGTGCTCGTTTATCATCCATATTCTATTAGAAAAAAATCACTGTTGGATATTTAAGGGCCTATACTACCTCAGCTCAAATTACAATTTTGCCTCCACTTTCCCGCGCCACTCGTTCGCACACTATGCGTGGCTCGAGTTCACGCGGGAACACGAGGCCAAAGCGATTTTGTTAGAATAAAATAAACTCTTATCGGATGAGCACTAAGTAGATAATAAAGTTTTCAGTCATTATTTAATGTTAACTTGTCATTATATGAACATAAAATTATATGTCGTAAATTTAATTTCATGTACATACTAACGGCATATTCTTATAACTAAAATTTAAAAAATACTATAAGTAGACAGACATATCCAATTAAAAAAACATGTGTTTATTTTTTATCAAAATGTCACATATAATCGTAGAAAAAATAAAAACTGATGCACATTTTTTCAGATATTTTGCTAATGCGGATGAATCATAAACTATTGTAATGAGGAACTATTTGATCTTATTTTAAGTATCTTTTGAATACCAGCGGTTTGTAATTTGGTTTCGAGGTAACTTTGGATTTTTTTCTATCGAGAAAATTTTATGGAATCGTGTTTTCGTCTAACATAGTACTTAACATTAATCCTCAACTTCACCATATATTTATTTCAAAAACAATGCTGCATTATTTTCGGCATAACAGAGGATATTGTTAAGCCATTTGAGGTAGTGTAGGCTCTTAACCTCTTCCATAATAAAGAAGGTTTGACGAAATATCTGCATGGCAGGCGGATTCACAATCGCAGTAATAGACGTAAGCACTTTTGGCACTGCTGCCCATCGTCCATCTGGATATTTTATATCTGACGTGAACGGCGTGGTTTACCGCCTTTCCCACTGTCATCTCTTACGACACACTCGGGAAGAAATGGAGCAATGACATATCTGACGCCGCCTCACGGCGAATATTAGAATAAAGCTATTTTATAACGTGTAGTGGCGGTGTCATGTTCAGAAGTGGGATTTAAAAGGCTGTAACGGTATACATCCATAACAAAAATGTAGGAAAATATTCTTATGATTCTTACAATCGCAATAATAACATTGGGAAAGAATGGAAAATGATTGATGATTGTAACGTGATTGTAAATATCACAGTCTATCTATGGTAAGTGGATAGTGGTCCATACACACCTACATCTATCATCGATTAAGAATTAAAATGTCTCGTTTCAAGTAAAAAAGATCTCCGGTTCTTTACACTCACCGTATGCAACACAGCAGCGTTAGCTGCTATTTTACGCCAGTATTCCATGAGAGCGTGGTCCTTCCCCGTCGAGCCGACAAGTTCTTGCAGGCATAATATAACCGCAGCGCGGCTCTACCACGCTGAACACCGGCTTATAGTAAAAAAAAGAATAATTCTTATCCATAAATATTAAATACCTCTGTAGATGCAAAGACACAGAGAGAATACAAAGGTATGCGGTGAATATTTTTGTCACATTGCCAGGAATCGGTGTTAGAGCGTGTGTGACAAATGGACCGACAAATTTTACGAATTTTTGGTTGTTTCTTATTACTGCATCATTAAATAACATAAGTATGCCTCTTTAATGTACATATTAATGTGCATGTCCAACACATATTAAAAATATTTAATTTTTTTGTTTTATAGAATAAGGGTGACAAACTAGCACGCAGTCCACCTGATAGTAAGTGGTGCTGTGGCCCATCTTAATTTATATAAATTACGTGTCACGTTGTTTTTCCGCGATGGACTCCTAAACTGTTTAACCGATTTTAATCAAATTTGCACACCGTGTGCAGTTTGGTCCAACTTGAGAGATAGGATTTTTTGCCCATTAGTGAACCACAATTTTTTTGCGAATTTAAAGATTTTTAATAGGACATGACAAAGGGCAGTAGAACGTCTACCTGGCAAGCTAGTAGACATATACATCTATCCTCAATACGAATCAAAATGTAGATGCCTTACCCGTTACCCCGGTCAAGCCGACCCATTCGTGCTACAAACATAATATAACTGCTGTTTGGCTCTACCACATGTAATTATTGATTAACAGGTTGTACAAGTAAGATACATGCCGTAGTAACTCAGGGGCTATGCGCTCGTTGTAAATTCTCAGCACGCGAGTAACCTAGGGTTAGATTCCAGCCGGCACCAATGAAATTGTTAATTGCAATTTTAAGTGCTGATTGACCACGTGCTCTGCAGTAAAGGAAAGCATCGTGAGGAAGCCTGAATGTCTGAGGAATAAAAAATCTTTCGAAGACATATTAAATCCGCCAACAATAACGACAATTCCTTGTCTCAAAACCGTCTTAGCAATGAGAAGAGACCTATGTCCGGTAGTAGGATGTATATAGGATAGGCTTTTACTATAATTTAACATTTTACAAGAATGACAAATAAGTACACGTTTCACCTGATACCTGGGTACCATGGTACCATGGTCCACCCGGGCCATATGCACCCTATATCGTCACCTACCCTACACGATTGAAAATTAAAATGCAGGTATGTTAACACTCACAAGGACTAAGACGAAATGTCTCATGACTAAAATCTCCAAGCAAACAAAATCATAACAGCAACATTAAATTGCTATTTCATACTGGTATTTTGCTTGTAAACATCGAACCCGTATTACTGATAATATTTTTTCATAGAATAAGGGTAACGAACGAGCCCGCAGTCTACCTAATGGTAAATGAATGCCGTCGATCAACACTAACCTCTATCCTAGTACTAGTACATAAGTCTTTTTACAGTATAAGAGTAACAAACGAGTTCACAGTCTACCTGTTGGAAAGTGAATGCTATGATCCATAGACATCTACATCTATCCTCAATTAAGTATCAAAATGCAGATGAGTTGTCACCCCCGAGGACTAAGATGAAACGCCTCATATTCAGTAAAAAGGGTCTCCGTTCCTCTAAGCATATAAGTATTAGGCTGCTATTTCACGCTGATATTCTACGAGAGCCTGGCCCTTCCCCGGTCGAGCTAACCCATTCATGTTATATTTTTACTTCCTCTAAATTATATATTGTGATGGTGTCACACCATTTCGTCACGTGGGTGTCGTAAAAGACGACTATGGGATAACCATGTCGTTTATGCAGGTTGGTTCGTATGTAGGTGGACGTGGATAGGTGGGCGTCACGTCCAAGCGTAACGATTAATAAAAGATGTGTAAAAATTGAATTAGCTGTGATCCGCGTAATAAAATAAAATGATAAGTCCTAGATAGTTTGAAAAATACCTCCCACGCTCCCTCAATTGCGTGCACTATTCTCGTCACCACTAATCCCAGCACCACTACTCCCAACACCACTACTCCTAACACCACTGCTTCCAACACTACTAATCCCAGCAGTACACCGTCCAACAGCACTACATTAAGAACGACACACCAACGTGAAAATCAAAATGAAGTTGCACGAATCAAAAAAATCCAAATCCAAAATGAAGTTGCATGACTCAAACTGTGAATGTTATGTACACTTGTTGTTTATATGCATATAAAATGTGTATGTTAAAGTTATAATTTTATTATGTGTATTTTAAGTGTACTTATTAAATAAATGAATAAATAAATAAACGTTGATAATATGACACGAGTTTCGCCACTAAACGAAGCATCCTCACGTGATGGATTTGGATATTGGGAGTAGTGGTGTTGGGATTATTGGTGACGGAGATACTCGTAGTGCACGCAATTAAGGTATGGCGGGAGGTAAGAAACATCATTTTATTTTATTACGTGAGTGCTAGCCAATTAATTTTTAACATCTTTGATATAATGGATTACCTCAAAGGAACGCCTGTTTCCATAAATTATTATCGTAAGCATTAGAGCAAATCCCGTTTATCATAAAAGAGGTCAACATCCAGCTGTGGGTTTTAGAGGGCTGAAGATGTTTGTGCAAATTATATGTTTAACTTATTTTTTCCATGCAGATGGGAGAAAGCACAATGGCCACCATCAACGTATGGTGGTGCGGCTGCAGTGGCTGCCGGAGCGATGGTTGGTGCTGTAGCTCTTGCGGGATCCTCTCCCGCATCAGGCATGCTCGCTAATCCTGAGCCAAGAGACTCTGCTAGTCTGACGCCGGGCAGCGCTCTTTCTTTAACACCAAACTCTTCGTGTGAAGAGTTAAGGATGGAAGGGGGTCAGTATATTAATATTAGATAGCAGCTTAGTTGTTAATCGCGACTTAAAGGATATGGCCAAGAATTCTTCGAGTCTGTGCCCCAGACAGTACAGTAGATAAAATCTATGTCGTTTGAAAGTACAGACCTTTTATATAAAGAATTAGGAAACTGCATGTAGCTACGCATTAGTGGACAACAGTAGCGAAGGTTTAAAAAGTTGATTTTGTCACTAGGTTTTTATCATGTTATCACAAAGTAGATATTCTTAAAGTTACAATTTAATGTGTGTTATATAGGTTAATGTGTATACATTTATCCCAGATGTTTAGAATACATAGTTATTTAGTAAAAAAAAAAACAGAAACAGCAGTTTGCTTCAATCTTAAAATATTTATATTGTTTGTAACTATTCACTAAAGTTTGACACTTTACTAAAGAAAAATAATTACATACTACTATGTTTAAGCTGTTGCTGTATTAAATAAATAAATAAAATCCGATCCGAGAGTGTATTTTGGTTATTTTGATCTATTAATTCATTAAAAGAAGGTTTGTTTTTATAGATAACCAATCACAAAGTAGTATTTTATGAGGTTAGTTATTGTTTTTGTTCCATACTGATCTTTTTAAATATAATATGGCTACATTAAAGGTATTTTAATGCTATAGAGTGACTTCTAACAGAAGAAATCACTTTATATACTATTTAAACTTGGTTATTTTTCAACAGCTGCTATGAAATGTTAATAGTTATTCAAAACGCTTTGTTTGTTTTTTTATTAATAGCAATAGTTTTATTATTGTACAGCTTGGGGCACATTTTGGCCTTGTCATTCCTACTAACACTGGTAATCAATAGGACTCCTTTTTCTGTCCAGTAGTCTGTCTGCGTCGTCACCACCCTCTTAACTCTTTCTACAACCAAATAGCAGTACCTACAACGCTGTGTTTTGGTCTAAAAGGTATATAAGTCAGTATAATCATAGACTGTACCGCATTCCATCTTAGTTGATGGCTTTATACGTGGTAGAGCCACGCTGCAGCTATATTATAGCATATATAGCACGAAGGGGTCGATTCCACCGGGGAAGGACCACGTTCTCATAAAATACCAGCGTAAAATAGCAGCTTAATACTGATGTGTATCGTAGCGTTTTGATTCCTAATTGAGGATAAATTCTAAGGATCTACGAACCACAGCATCCACTTACGATCAGGTTGACTGTTTACTCGTTTGTCACCCTTATTCTATAAAGAAAAAACGACAACGCTCAGTAGCCTTCTTATTTCGAAGTTAATTGCAGGCGTCAGGTGGACTTTATGTATGTTTATTATTTCAATTCTAAAAAAAATAATAGCTTAAGTTTATTACAAATGAAATCTTTCAGCTATGTTCTGAAAGATAAAGATAATCAGTCTTCTTCCTAGTCCTAGTTAGAAATATTAACGATCAAAATCCATTTGAATCCAAAAAATTTACGTCGGATAAGTTTAAGGGAAAAATATTAACAAAGAAAAATTAATTTTTTTGGGTTAAAAATAGCTAGCAACAACTTCCAGTTTTACAAATTGTGCATACAAAATCAAGCCAATTACAGCAAATCACGATTTACTTAAAAGTGGATCAAAGACTGCGAGAATAGATATAGGTAATGAAGCAATCAAACGCCGGACGTATTACAACGATCTGAAATAGCACGAAACAATTTTTTGTTTGCTGTTGCAGCTTACAACCGTAAGCTTTTTGTTGGCTTAATTGATTATATACACTTTGAGTTACCCATGCCAATAACAAGATATCCAATGGGTTTCCGAGAACTGTAAATTTAAATAACTTCTTCACCTTTGCCAAAGTTGTTTCGTGAATCGGTTGTAGTGGGTGGGTTATCATATATAGGATAACATTTTTGTAGTGGCATGATTGATTTGAATGATTTTGGATGATGATCATGGATTTAATTGATTTGATTTGATTGAAGAAACAATAGGTCGTCTCAATCGGGGGAATGCCAGGGAAAGTAACGCTTACCAGAAAAAAGGCACAGCAGAGAGTAGACCAGAGGTATTCCAGGATGCGAATATAACCGGTTGGTACAGCCTGATAAAAATATTGGAGAGGACTTTGTTTTATAAAATTAAAAAATTGTACTGTTGTATTATCAACAGGTGTTTCCTATGAAATTGCCGTTCTGAAGTACTGGCCATTGCAAATCAAAATAATTTTAGTTTGGCTAACAATTGTAATTTCAAATTAATTTTATTAAAAAAAAGTGGAATTCTGTTTTCATAATTAGCGACACGCAACATCAGCCACATTTACGGAGCGAATAAAAGAACGCACCACCTGTAATTGGTTTGACTGCCGCCATTTTCTAAATTTCGACCTGAAAAATGAACCGAACCGTGGTAATCCGAAAACTTTGGTCGACAATGACGAATTAAATGGGTGCCCCACGAACCCAATAATCGTCAACGCGATGCACGCGTTAAGAGCTTTGCAAAGCTCAACAGGCACACAAACGAAGAATTTATACGACGAAAAATAGAATCTGTATGCCAATCGAAAACGCTCAGCAAGTTGGTTGGATCCTGGTTCAGCACCTAAACAATTCTCTAAACGAAAACTTACCCCTAGAAGTGATGGTCAATTTTGGTGGTCTAGCGCCGGTGTAATTCATCACAGCTTCTTACCAAACGGGATGAGCATTATTGCAGATGTTTACTGTGAAGAACTGAACACAATGATGGAGAAGCTCGCACGTCTCCAACCAGCTTTGGTCAATCTCTCGTCCCAGCTGTGCCTGCACGACAACGCGCGACCTCATACTGCACAACAGACGGTCTCAAAGTTACAAGAGCTGGGTTTAGAAGCTCTTCATCATTCACTGTACTCACCAGACCTTGTGCCTACAAACTCCTATTTTTTCCAGAATTTGATAACTTTTGGCGGGAATACAATTTATACCCGAGTGGTAGCAAAATGCCTTTGAAGAATGAATTTTTTGCCTTCCGTACTGCTGATTTCTTCAAAAAAGGGATCAATAAACTGCCACTGCGTTAGCAAAGATGCACCGATTGCATAGGTGATTACTTTGATTAATAGAAATTAAAAATAGAGAAAAAAATTACGTTAAAGTATTTCATAAAAAACGGCAATTTCATAGGTAAAGACTTTAATAACATTTATGAGTCTTGTTCTTTATTACCATAAAGGAAATGGGGGGAAGGCGGCACGAACACTGTAGCAGTGTAATACTGCTATATTTTGTATGGTGAGTGATCTGAACCAAAGACCCTACGGAGGTAATTAAGCATTCCATTATAATCCTAAGCGTTCGCTTAGGATATGTTTACAAGCCACAACATCCAGTTACCATCAATAAACTGTATTCCCGTCTCGTTTGTTACCGTTGCCTTCTAATAAAAAGAAAAACTTACCTTACTTTGCCAATCATTCCTATCGGAAAACGATTATAATTTCAACGGTTTAAGGGTTGATGCATCTCAATAGACCTATTCTGAATGATTCCGAAAATAGAATAAGAAACTTCAAATCTTTTAGATATAATGTTGCCTAGATCACTTCCGGCACTGCTCTCTATCTGTGCGTCAAGTTTCATCATAATTGGTTCAATCTCTCTTCTCGGACCAACAGACAGACAACCAACCAGACAGACAAAAAATTAAAAAAATCATTCCTTTCCTAATGCCATACATCCCTTAAGTTCGATAAAAAGCAATAATTTCGATATTACAGACCTAAACTTCTATTTAATTTACATGTATAGATGTATAGATCAAAAGCGCTGTATTACGTGGGGCATTGGCCGCTCCTCGGGCTAAACACAGTGCCCGGCGGGCAGCCAAAATTAAACTAAGACGATATATAAGAACACGTTTCAGGTAACTGCCGCAAAAATGTCATGCTGCGCTGCGATGACCAGGACAGTGCCTTCCTTCAAGCACCAACACAGGTTTGTGTAGAAAGACATTAACTTTACGCCTCAATTGGAACAATACCAACAACGAAATGGACCAAAAAATCCACCGAGTTGTTGCAACAGTTGGCAAGAAAAAAAGTCCTCAAACATGTCAATACTGAGCTACTAAATTATTTAAGTAATAACTTTTTTCGGTGTAAAGATAAAAAAAGGTCAAGGTTATTGCTAAAACTTCAGTTGACAAACGCTAATAACTATCAACCCAAATATACTTGATGTTAAAATCAATAATAAGAAAGATCCAATTAACCTGACTCGATTGCAATTCAACTCAACCCAACTCAACTCAGCTCAATTTTATAGTATACTATTCTATTGTTTATTTAATTTTATTTTTAATGTTTCCATAAACCTTTGGTTCAGCGTTTTTAGAAGGATCTTCGACCAATAGTCGATTGTTAGAGTCCTGTCTATCAATAAACAAGTTGCACCTCATGCATGTGATGCTAACACTTGGAGAAACACTACCCTTTTTACCCTTGACATAATTGCTTTTACACCTCAGCAACAGCAATTCAAATTATAAACGGTCTTTAGTTTCTCAAAAATATAAATACAGACGTCTCAAATTCTCAAACCCGCACTGATATCAGTCCACTGCTGAACATAGACTTTTTTTTATAGTATAGGGTGACAAACGAGCTCACAGTCCACTTGATGGTAAATGGTTACTGCGGCCCATAGACAGTACATCTATCCTCGATTACAAATCAAAATGCATATGCGTTGTCACCCGTGAGGAATAAGATCGAATGCCTCGTTTCCAGTAAAAAGGGTCTCCAGTTCTCTACTAGTGCGTGGTTATTCCCCGGTCGAGCCGACCCATTCGTGCTACAACTATACTACTAATATAACTACAGCATGGCTTTACCACGTATAAAATTTCCCCAAGGTATGCCACAAAGCACGGTCATGAGCCACCTGCATACATCGATTCACTCCATCTAGTGGGGGGTCGCCCTACACTACGCCTACCAGTACGAGGCTGCCACTTGAGAACCTTTTATCCCATCAGTTGCCAGTTCTTCGAGCTATATGGCTGGCTTATTGCCACTTCAGCTTACTAATCCGTTGGGCTATTTCGGTCACTCTGGTTCAGCATAGTTCACACGAGCACTATCCTATTGTATAATTTTTTTACAGAATTAAGTGTGACAAACGATCACACGTCCACCTGATGATAAGTGGATACCGTAGCCTATAGACACCTGCATCTATCCTGGAATAAGAATCAAACTACAGATGCGTTGACACTCCTGTAAATTAAGATGAAATGTTTCGTTACCAATATAAAATGGTATATAATTCTCGTCTCTCACTATCAGGGTTGCCGTTCTTCAAATGTTAAAGTCCCTAGACTAACAGAAAAAATCCGCCAGAAACAGGATTTTTCTTTTTCTTAAAATCCGCTAGATGTCCATAGGTAGATTTTCATGCTACCATTGGGCTAACTGAAAAATCCTGCCATGGTATACAGTGAATACCGAAAATCTAAATCTATAAATTCAAAAAAACCTTAAAAAGAGCGGACTATTTCTTATAAATCAGTTATTTATAGTGTATGTTAATGACATGACAACCAAAGCAAAAATTATTCATGTACAAAATAATACAATATTGTAAAAAAATAAATCTTTAAACCACGTTTAAATATCAGTCATCTTATTAAAAATAAAACAATTAGCTCAGTACGTTCTTGCACCTAAATTTCAAAATTAATAGTGAAGTATGGATCCAGATCTTCAGAAACAACTTCAGCGGAAGTTGAAGCTTCGCCAATGTCTCCAGTTTCCATCTTTGGTTTGCCTTTACCGACTTGTTAACCACGCCTCTTTTTTTATCCTTAACTGATTTCTAATCAGAAGAATGGAATCTAAAAGTTTTTTCTGATAGCTTGTTCGCAGTTTGCTTTTAACTACATTCATATCACCAAATACGCGTTCAAATTCTGCATTTGAATGAGGTAGTGATAATATTATTATTGCAAAATTACATAAATCTTCGAATATGTTTACTTCTGTTGCATTTTTGAATGTCGAAACAGATGAAAGTGAATGAACGACATTGATTTGTTAGTTGATGATTGGGAATTTCCATGAAATTATATTATATGTACAGTGTTACCAACGGTAGATTCCAATATTGGACATAAAATAAATGACATTTTAAATGAATTACTTTATGGATAAATCGCCATCTCAAAGGTTCAAATGTCGCTAGAAGTCGCTAATTTTTTCGCTAAAACGATTTTTTTATCCGCTAAATATTGTTAAAATCTGCTAGATCTAGCGAGAAAGCGAAGGCAACACTGCTCACTATACAAAATACAATTTAAAAAATTTAAAAATTAATTTTTTGTTAAAGTACCGTACTGTACTGGATGACCTTTTCTACTGTCTGGAAAAAAATAGGGTGTAACATGTGAACGGAGTAGAAGCCTATGGCACTCATATTTTACAAAAATAAAAACAAAAATTATGTAATTAAGTAAATACTTTCATATGCCTATAATAAAAAGCTGTTATTTTGATATTCCAAGCATACACTTCGATTTCATTTATTTGTATAGATATAATTTACGTTTGTGCATATACATATACATATGTAGTAAACGGTAGTCCGCAAAGTAATGACGAGTTTCGCGCAAATACTCCGTGGCAAAATCCGTGTTGTTCGACAGAACAATTATATGCCTATTTGAATATTATTTTGACAGCATTAAGTATTTGCAAACTGGTATTCTATTCCTCCGCGGTCAAGCTGACCCATTTATTCTGCAGCCAGCTAAGCTGTACGGTGGCTTTACAACGTTGTAAACCTGTTTAATTTATAAATTTGTATTTCCATAACAGGACGACAGCTCTACCTCCCCATCTCCAAACAAACTACACAAAAGTCCCTGGGGCAAAATGCGCGACATCATCCAGACCCACAAGGAGTCCGTCAAGAAGAAGTCCAGAGGCCCGAAGAGCTCGCCAGACGTGATACCTGTAAGACGGAGATCTCTTAGTGATGGTGGTGACAGCGACGCACCACCAGCTCTTACCATCACTATACCTTCGTCCGAAGAACTCGGTAATCTTTCTTAGTTAATATTTTGGGTAAAATATACATAGTTAAAGAATATCTATATGATCAAATCACATACATATATTTTGGTCATACAGGACTGGACCTGGATTTTAATTTAAATGTCACAACATATTTTTTAGGAACTAAAATTGAAAACAAACATCAAAAACTGTTAATTAAAGATGTGAAAATTAATAAGTCAATATTTGCGTAAGAAATAAAATGGTATCTCACTAGCTAAGTCAAGATGACTTAATCGGAGGTTAGTTAGCGCAGAGTCCATTTCTCTGATTACGCCTCGTTTAGAGGCGACATAAGTGTCGCATTGTTGGTGATGTGTCTTTCCTATTGTAATAGTGATGGTTGTAATAGTGTTGAGGGTTGTGGTGTTGCGTTTAGTGGTGGCAGTGATAATGCACGCAATCATGGGTGTGAAGAAGGTTTTTTTCGTACTAGTAGTAAGAAACCATTTTATTTTTTACTCTGATCTTAACTAACTAGTTTTCACGTCCTTAATATTATAATGGTTTTAAAAAATGTAACACCAGATTCTATTAATCATCAGAAAGTGCCAATTTCATCTCAATTAAATAAAATATCTCATAGCACATGTAGTGAAGAAGAAATCTATGCACACCACCCACTACGGTTGGGACACACTGAGACATTATAAAAAAAATCTTCCTTCTTTATTTCTTCATAATTTCAAGACGTTATTCACCACATCATCAACATAATCGTCATAACACCCCTCCTACAACTACAAGTCTGCTGCTGAATAGGATAGAATAGAATAGAATGGAATATATTTTACTCAATATATTAGTTATTCTTATTGAAAGTCTTTTATTACTTTTACCATTGGTTCGGGAAAAACCTGGGAAGAACCAGCAAGAAACCCAGCGGGACTTTTAAAAAAAAGTAAACTATACATTATGAAAGATTGTAAAAACTATTTTCATAACAGTTTGGAAGCGACTACCCTCCCAGAGGCTATTATCAACCATATAGTATAGTATAGTAATAGAATGACACAACTAATGCCACAAAACACGGTCTTGGGACGCAGACTTCATGCATTCCTTATCACGTCGTCACTTCATTTAATTGGGGCTGACATACATTTCACTCGCCTGTACGAGCTTGCCCCTCGGCTGTCGGTTTTTTGAGCCATAAGGCCGGACTATTGCTACTCGTATTTTGGTGGTAGTACGAATGGACCGACTCGACCGAGGAAAGACTATTATGCTTCTTCAGAACACCAGCATCAAATAGCAGCTTAATGCTGCTGTGTTTCGTATCGTATGAGTGTAGACAACCGGAGATCTTTTTTGCTGAAAACAAGGCATTTCATCTAAGTCCTCACGGGTGACAACGCATCTGCATTTTGATTCTTAAGCGAGGATAGATATAGGCATAGAGTAATTAGACTTAGAGTGATAGTGTCATTCAAAATTCCGTTCAAAGTTGAAGCAACAACACAATGAATGTGTGCATAAGCGGCCTGTACACAAGCAAATGAGTAATGTATGCAAGTAAATGACGATTTCCCCAAAAAATGGGCAAAGTGTAATAGTAGACATAGTCGTAAAATTTATGTTTAGGTTGCGTTTAGAATTATTTACTAATAATTTACGAAGAGAGAAATAAAAAATTACTTATATTTGTTAACTAATATTTTAATAAAATTATTTATATACGTAATAACTTGTGCTATAATAATATTCACAAATCTATTATGTCATTATATTATTCTGTTAGAAGAGATATATTTATATAAGTATTATATATTTATATAATACTTTTCCCCCGACACTATTCCGATGATATCCCGGACGTCAGTCTGAGCGAGATTAGAATGGCTCTCCAGCACCTTAAAAACGGCAGGGCCCCAGGCGAGGATGGAATTACAGCGGAGCTTCTGAAAGCGGGTGGAACACCGGTACTTGAAGTCCTTCAGAGGCTCTTCAATTCCGTCCTCCATGGTGGCACAACTCCAGAGGCGTGGAGCAGAAGTGCGGTGTCTTGTTCTTTAAGAAAGGCGACAACGCTCTATTAAAGAACTACAGACCGATTTCCCTTCTGAGCCGCGTCTACGTGCTGTTTTCGAGAGTCATTACGCATCGTCTCGCACGTAGACTCGACGGCTTCCAGCCTCTCGAACAAGCCGGTTTCCGAAAAGGCTTCAGTACCATAGACCACATACATACCCTGCGGTAGATTGTACAGAAGACCGAGGAGTACAATCTGCCACTTTGCTTGGCGTATGTGGACTATGAGAAAGCCTTTGATTCCGTCGAAATTTGGGCGGTGCTACAGTCCCTTCAGCGGTGCCAAGTTGACTGTCGGGATATCGAAGTGCTGAAGTGTTTGTACAGTAGGGCTACGATGGCTATCCGAGTACAGAACCAGAGTTCGAAGCGTATCCAACTGCAGAGAGGTGTAAGACAGGGTGACGTTATATCCCCGAAACTCTTCACCGCTGCGTTGGAAGACGCTTTCAAGCTATTGGACTGGAAAGGATACGGTATTAACATCAATGGCGAGTACATCACTCACCTTCGATTTGCCGACGATATAGTCCTTATGGCAGAATCGCTGGAGGACCTTAGCACTATGCTCAATGACCTCAATGGTGTCTCCCAACGGATAGGTCTTAAGATGAACATGGATAAAACAAAGATTATGTTTAATGTCCATGTCACACCTATGCCGGTAGTTGTTGGGAGCACTATGATCGAAGTTGTTGACGAGTACGTTTACCTGGGACAAATAGTCCGACTAGGTAAGTCCAACTTCGACCGAGAGGTCAATCGACGGATTCAACTCGGCTGGGCAGCGTTCGGCAAATTACGACACATCTTCACGTCAGGTATACCTCAATCTCTGAAAACTAAAGTGTACAACCAGTGCGTGTTGCCAGTGATGACTTACATTTTTATAAGACATTACGGATCAGAGACGTGGTCCTTCACCGCTGGCCGTATGAGGACGCTCAAGGTCGCTCAGCGAGCTATGGAGAGGGCTATGCTCGGAGTTTCTCTGCGTGATAGACTCAGAAATGAGGATATCCGCAGTAGAACCAGAGTGACCGACATAGCCGAACGGATTAGTAAGCTGAAGTGGCAATGGGCCGGCCATATAGCTCGAAGAACCGATAACCGATGGGGAAGAAAGGTTCTCGAGTGGCAGCCTCGTACCGGTAGGCGTAGTGTGGGGCGACCCCCAACTAGATGGAGTGACGACCTGGTAAGACATGCAGGAAGTCGATGGATGCAGGTGGCTCAGGACCGTGCTTTGTGGCGTTACTTGGGGGAGGCCTATGTTCAGCAGTGGACTTGTGAAGGGCTGTAATGATGATGATGATGATATACTTATATTAATATATGATATACTTTTTTTGAATAGGCGTTTTGTATTAAAACAAAATAAGATTCGGAAGGAGAAAAACTATTCAAATAAAACAGGAAACTAAAAATATTTATTAAATAACTATATACCCAAGTACTTAAACTAAACGTCTCTTACTTAATAACCCTGCATCTGCAACTGTTTTCTAAATAACTGCCGCTTTGATGATGCTATCCGCGAAATATTATCTTTTTGGATTCATATAAGAATCGAACTCTTACATATCGTTCTACAATAAGCCGTGCCAGATTTTTGTCGTGATGTTGCGAATTGATGTGCTCTTCTACAGTAAGAAATAGAGAACGACCAATGAGTTTGGCCATAATTTCGAGAGATAGATCTTTCTCTGAATTGTTTTTTTGTGCATTTTGCTTAATATAATTTCGCAGATTATTTTCAGCAATACTACAAATGGAGTAAACTTCATGAGAAACGTAAATTAGTTAGTTTTCGTTAGTTTTCTTTGCGATTAAGTCTATTTTTTTCAATTCATTAAGCAGCACAGACCATCTAGCCTACGAGACATGTAACGAAAGGCGACAAATTTCTGTAGTTCATCTGCTCAACGGAAGCCTATGTTGTTGAACACGAACGCTACCCTCTACCCTGTTTAGTAGTTACCAGACAACAGACCTGTGCACTGCGTCCTTAGCGCTACAATTTTTTAAAATTAAAACAGTAAAGCATGCCTACTTGCGCAGTAAAGTGGTATGGTAGTGATAGCAGGAAACGTAATTTCAAGAAGGATAAAGTTGGGTTTTACCGGTAAATGCAACATTTAATAATCTTATTCTGGTCGTAGTTCTGAGACTGTCCTTGTCAAGCACGCAGTATCATAGTAGCGGCTCTGTCTATTAATCAAAGGGGCTGTAGGCGGCACGTGTAAGTAGAAATGCCAAAAAAAGGATCGATGCAAGTTTATCGACTATTTATTGTATTATTATTTTTTGTGTAGACGAACAGTCGTACTATTATATTTGTGTATATTGCTCTATATATAATTTTAATTTGAAATCCAAATTACAGTTTTACAAACCCTAATTAATAAAAAATAAAGGTAATTTTCATTTACATTTTTATATTATGTTAATTTTACCTAATGTAGATATTTTCACCTGACTGTCGCGGCCGAGGCCGAAACAAAGTCATGGTTTTTGAGAGTATTTATTATGTTTGTGTATTTCTTAGACATTCCGCTCTTAACGGATTTATGGTAATGGTAAACGATTAGCGTTGTAAATGACATGTAAAATACATGTATATATTTCAAAGAACTTTACATGTATTAAACTGTGTATTTTACGCATAACTCATTTGTTTATAATTACGTTTTTTTTATATTCCCCCATATTTACGCGTACGATGTATGGATGTGATACATCTCTAAGTTACATCTCACGCGCCACCCGCACACCTTTCTTTTTTCTAACCTTGACAGACTAATTTAATTAAAAAATCGTAATGGTTTCATGTCTCGTAGGCTGGGTGGTCTGTGTTGAGCAGCAACAGTCGGACCAGACGGAATCTAAAAACGAATACGTTTAAATTGGCAATAACATTCACGTTATTATCAACTTCACTTCATTAAAACTAAACAAATATGTTTGTGCTATTTTGGCTAAACATTAATTATTGTCTTTACCATAATTTAATACACCACTGTTGGCTAGTGGCTTAAACGTATCGTCTTTTTAGAAAATATCGAAGATATGTAAATAAGTATTAGAATTTTAAAAAATGTTCATAGGGTAAGTTATTTATTCTAAAACACATACTATAAAAATATATAAATAACTGCACATTAACAAAACAAAATAAAATCAACACATTTTTTTCTTGGCAAATGGGAACCCTTATAGTATTTGGCAATCAAAAATTTGTATTGTATTGTGGGTATTTTTATTTGTCAAATAAAAATACAACAATAATAGTCCCATATTGGCGGTATTTATTTATAATAATAAGAAAATTTGGGGTAAAATATTTTACTATGCCTAGCAACATTTTCATTATATTGGCGTCTGTCAAATTTAAGATTTATTATTTTGTTTTGATGAATGATTTTTACAAAAATATAAAATGCTAGGCAGTAATTACCCGTGAAATGAGATTTTTTCATGATTAGGTGATGAGTTGTGACACCCTTTTAAAGCACAGTAAGTTGTTTTTTTGCAAAATGGCGCGAGCTCTTTACACAACTACTTGGACTCGAGTACTGACACACTGAAAGTCGTACTTAGCCTTAAAAGGCTAACTTGAAACGGCTTCACTTTGCGCGTGCCTGCTGCGGTTCTAAGCCTAATAATTATATGGATATAGGCGAGTTTTGCGTTTGCTCGTCACTCTTTTTCTTTAAAAAAATCTGTTAGGTTGTCGGTTAGTTTCGTTTCACTTCGGATATCATCGTTGCGGATTCTAACAAGAAGATTAATTTTGCACATGCTCGGCTGTAAATAAAATATTCTTTAGGAAATCTACAAGTTAAAAAAAGTAAAAAAATATAACAATAAATATTTTGACTAGGTTTAAAATTACACACTTGACTGCCTCATTGGTCTAGTGGTCGTTAACCCGATTGCCGATCATGAGGTCCCGGGTTCAAATATTGGGTCGGGCCAAAATTAGTTGACAGGTTTTCTGTTATGAAATTCTCAGTAACAACTCGGCGTCATTAAATTGAGTGTGTGTAACACCCGTGCTTCGTAAGTAAAGTCGTTGGTCATATGCCTGAGCTCCGATCGTTTCGGATGACCGTCCCATTACACTATGACAGTCAAGAAATAGAAAGTGCACCTGCGCATGCATTCGGGCACTATAATTCTATTCTGCGCAGATGGCTAGTCTCTGTTGAGACTGGCCGCCATGACCGAAATTCGGTCTGGAGAACGTTATTATCAATTACGCCCTGATCTAGCGGCGAAATATTTCCTTGCAAGTCTATATAACACTCCCAAAAACGGGAGAATTGCCTGTGCTTCTGAGTATTTTCCTATGTGCAATTTATGTAAAACCACAGCACAGAAAAATATTTTAATGAAAAAACTTCACCTTTAAAGAATTATAAATATTCAAGAGAAGTTACATGAAAATTCTAGAACATTGTGACTTACATACAAAAAATTCCGAGTGTGAATCAGGGCATTACGAAAAACCACTTCAAAAGCTCTCGTCGTCCCAAAGAAATCAACAATTCCATTTATTTAAATAAACATGCGCTTGTCACATCATCTGCGGTGAACTTAAAACACAGTTTGTTTATTTAATATTGATTACAAATTACTAAAATATACACTTCCACAAAGTTTAAAAAAAGAAATTTCTCAGAATCCATGGATAGAATTCTAATTAACACAAATAAGAATAATAAGGTTTTGGAATCAAATACATTAGGATAAATTATCTTTGCGGTCTCTTTTTATAAAATTTAGGTGACAAACGAACTTTCAGTCCACCTGTACCACCGAAATAGTAATCATAAGACAATAGAAATGAATTAGCGCTCGATTACTTCCAAAACCGATGTCGCCACATCTTAAATGCGTATGTGACGCATTAAGCAACCGATGCCTGCAGCCGTATTATAAACATACGCATTATACAATGATATCGAATGTCACATTACATTGCTTGTCGAGTTTGTCAAATTCGCGTGCGTCGCGTATTACGGTAGAACAAAAGCAACAATAGTAATTGTATAATACGAAAGTAATAAATTAAAGTTTACAAAGATAAATATCATAGTAAAGTATTCAAATAGATGTAAATTAGATAAAACAATGATAATTAGTAAATAATTAATTTACTGATGAAATGTTATGCCTTTATTAGTTGAATTACACACCCTTGATGAGTTTTTACAACTGATTATGCTGCAGTTCACCATTATAATAACGTAAATTCACGTACGACATTCCCTGCGCAACTAAATCACAAAATGGTGAATGATGTTCGTCAACACATTATAGCGACGACAAGATTACGCGTTTATGCGACTTCTATTGTCTATTTCTTCATTTACAATTTCTGTGACCTGTACTCACCTGTACCACAGTAAGAAGGCTACTACGGTCCATGTAAAACTGCAAATACGAGGGTGGATTGAAAAGTACTCGGCCTAACCAAGAAAATAAACACATACTAAATCAGTTATATTTTTATTTTTCTACATAATCACCATCAAGTTCAATACACTTTTGCCACCTCCCCTTCCAAACATTTAGACCGTTGAAAAAAAATGATTCTTCCTTAGAGTCAAAATATGCGTCTACAGCTGCTTTGACCTCGTCGTTTGTCGAAAATCTTTGACCTCCCAAGTGCTTTTTTTAGGTTAGGGAACAGAAAGAAGTCTGATGGCGCCAGATCAGGTGAATACGGCGGATGCGGTAACAGTTCAAAGCCACAGTTGTGAATTTCAGCCATTGACTGTACTGACGTGTGAACACGGGCGTTATCTTGATGAAACAGGACTTTTCTTCTGAGCATTCCTCGACGTTTTTCTTTTATTTTCTCTCGTAAACTACGTAGTAAGGTGCAGTAGTAATCAGAGTTTACAGTCTGACCCCTTTCAAGATAATCAATCATAATCACACCTTTCGAGTCCCAGAATACTGAAGCCATCACCTTATTTGCCGACAAAATCGACTTAGCCTTTTTAGGGGTGGTGAACCAGGTCTTCTCCACTGTTTTGATTGTTGTTTTGTTTCCGGTGTACAGTAATGAACCCATGTTTTGTCCATAGTAACAAAACGATTCAAAAAATCATCTGCATCGGCTTCAAATAACTCCAAACAGTCGCGTGAAATAGTCAATCGCGTCCTTTTTTGTTCAACTGAAAGCAGTCGCGGAACCCACCTCGCAGACACCTTGTGGAAACCCAACTCGTTGACAATGATATTTTGAGTTCATTCATAAGAGATGCCTATAATCTCGGCTATCTCTCTAATTTTTAATCTGCGGTCTCCCATTATTAAATCAAGTACTTTTTTAATATTTTCGTCAGTAGTTGACGTCGAAGGCCTTCCAGAGCGGGGTTCATCTTTCACACTCTCTCTACCACGCTTAAATTCTGCTATCCATTTTTTGACGGATGAATATGACAGAACACAATCGCCTAATGTACTGACCATGTCATCATGGATGGCTTTTGATGATAGCCCCTTCTTATGGAGGTACTTGATGACGGCACGCTGCTCGATTTGCTCCATTCGCGGAAATTATGTCCGATTACTTTGTTAATAAATTTATAAAATCACAACTAATTATCGCACACGTTTCGAACTTCACACAATGAACTAGTCTGAACTGAACTAAATAATGTGGGTAGATTTTATTTTTAGAATTAAATGGATCTGTGTTAGGCCGAGAACTTTTCAATCCACCTAGGTAACTCAAAATCAAGAAGGCTACAGATGCGTTATCACCTCTGAGGAATAATATTAAATGCCTGACAGTCTGTAAGTATAGTGGATATCTATTCCCCTCAGGCCGGAACACAGCATTGTATACACCGCTGTTTAGTAGCAGAAATAGGTCAGGATCTCATCGAATGGATGTTATTAAAAAAATAACTAAAAATTGTGAAGTTACTGGTCTCTTTTTCTACGTGCTTAAAGACTGGAGGTAGACGTTTGTCTCACTTATTATAAAAATGTGTTTTCTATGTCTAATAGTTACCGGTACAGTATCCAGGATTTAAGCTTGCTTAGCAACCTCCAGTATTTATTTGTTAAGAATTTAGAGATAGTCAAGGTCTTGGTTTCGTGTAACAATAACGTTCGTCATCTTAAGCCGCTAAGATGACCTTACATCCTTTACAAGTTGTCTATAGCCGCTCTTTGGACTTATAGCATGTTTTAGATTTCCTCATTTGTCTAATGGTCGTATACGCGACAACTAATCATTAGGTCCTAGTTTCAAATCGCAGTTTAAGGCAAAAATTATTCATTAGGGTTTTCTGTCAAGAAGTTTCCAGTAGCAGAGACAAGAGTCTAGAAGTTGACGCTAATCGACCCCCGCGTCTCGTTGGTCGCCTGATCTCTCTCCGATCGTGTAGAATTGTTGCCACATTGGACTATGAGAGTGAAGGAATAGAGGGAGCACATGTGTTTTGCGCACACACTCGTGCACTATAATCCTGTCCTGTTCAGAAGAGAAGAGAAGAGTCACCTTTCAGACTGGCCGCCATGATCGAGATCCGGTCTGAAGGCTATTATTTATTTATTATTTTAGTACTCTTACGATCAGATGGGTTGGGAGGAGTGCACTGTATATTTCATATTAAATTATAATATATCATCATAAATAAAAGTTTCCAGCACCTTTTCTAACTAAATATTTTTTCTAAAAAAACTATTGTTTTTTATTTTATTTTATTTTTTAATATTTCTAACAGAATCGGAACCCTCCCACCCCATCCTGCGTAAGCAGCGATCGCTGGAGTTGGGTGCTAGACCTCCGCAACACCGACCCCCCAGAGCTTCCAAGTGGACCAAGGTCAAAAGGGCGTTCCTAACGTCCGCTTCCGCTTCGGTACCATCTAGTCCAAGTCGTCATTCTGCGTTCTTCACTGACGCAGGTAAGTGAGATTACAGGTCCCACTCTTGTACATTTTGACCTTGGTATGTTGTATAGAACGCGACGTTTTCTCATTAACAAATCATTGAACACAACTATCTTATATTATTATAATTGAAATAAGTACTATTTTTGTGACTCAGCTAATGATGCGTCCCTAGTAGTTATTATTGGTCTTTTTCATAATTTATTGGCACTAAGTAACATATTACTTTGATTAAAGTTATGGACAGTGAACTGTAACATCGTGCATTTGAATCCACTATTCAAATACTATCGCGAGCTACTCCTCACACACGTATCAGCTTATAGTGGTCAACAGGAATGTATGTAATTTTAATAACATTGCAAATATTTTAACAAATATTAGAGATTAAAAGAAACAGCCATGTTTGGTTAATTTTCAAAAAATCCAAATAACTCTTTCAGAGTGCGCATGCAAAACATTTGTAAATATTTCGTTAACCGATACTGAAAGAGCACAAGACAAAACAAATTTAATTTGTGTACCAACCCGAAAAGTATGCCAAACGCCCGAGATATAACATGATCGGTGAATTCCTGGACCAGAATTTTCAAATAAGCAATTTTCACAACAAATTCTTATTACTCCACCTGCGAATGCAAATGAAAATAAAGGAAATATTGAAATTGAGATAGAATCGTCAAACTCAAAATTATACAAATGTTACTTCCTGGTAAAATTTGTAACGCAGCAACTTTATAAATCTAATAATTTGTAACAATACACCCAAAACATCAATAAATGTAAATAAGACTAAAGTGTCTGTATTATTGAATAAAACTATTATTTACGGATTTTATCGCGTTTAATTACTTTAATTTATTTTTATTATTATCCCGACGTTTCGGGTGCTTTACAGCGCCCATATATAGCGCGTAAATAATAGTTTTATTCAATGTGTAGTGTTCGCGTAAATTTAAGAAATCATTATGTCTGTATTATATTAATATAATAATAATATTGAAATAACTAGATTCTATTTACCTCAAATTTTTTGTCTACCTATCCGGGGTATGAGGAAACTAAAGATCACTCAGCGAGATATGGAGAGGGCTATTCTCGGAATTTCTCAGCATGATAAACTTAGAAATGAAGATATCCGTAGTAGAACCAGAGTAATCAACATAGCCCACCGGATTAGTAAGCTGAAGTTGCAATGAGCCGGCCATATAGCTCGAAGAGCTGACACCTGATGGGGAAAAACGTTCTGGAATGGCAACCTCCAACCGGTCGGCGAAGTATAGGGTGACCATCATTAGATGGAGTGAATACCTGGTACGACATGCAGAAAGTCAATGGATGCAGGTGACTCAGGACCGTGCTTTGTGGCTTTCGGCAGCGGACTTGTGAAGGGCTGTAATTATGATGATGATGTTCGGGGTGATCTTTGTAATGGTTCAACGGATTGTGATAAAACTTTACGAACAGATAGAAAGCAATAGCAGGAGGGACCTAGACTTTATTTTAACCGAAAAACTTAGAGATTTTTTTTGTGAAATCAAAAAGTTGATAAAATAAATTAGCCGTTAATGATTATCTAAAATCTAAATATATACCAACCAAGCGAAGCTGGGGCGGAGCATCAGTTTGAAATAAAACCAATTTTAAGGCCGCACTTAATACAATTATTTCTATTTCATTTCCGACGTTTCAGGTGCTTTTCATTCATTGTAACACAAAAGTTATTCATTACAAAATAGTTTCTCTGATTGCCATTATTTCTCGTCAAGGTCTCCAATGACGTTGCGTTCGAGCATTTTATCGATACTGGAGCCCATTTAACCGCTTATGAGTAACACTACTAAAATACAAACGGAATGAGAAAAGCGTCTGCCAATATTAACCGCTATTAGCGATTGGAAATGACGAAATTTGGAGAGCTTGCTCGTCGGAAAATGAAAATATATCGTCATTAATGAAAAGTTATAAATTAGGAATTTTTTTAATAGAATAAGGGTAACAAACAAGCAAACATTCCACCTGATGGTAAGTAGATACTGTAGCGCATTGACATCTATATACATTAATCCTCAATGAAGAATCAAAAGGCAAATGCGTCGTCACCCCTGCGGAATAAGATGAAATGCCGCGTTTCCCCGTACTATACGCTGAAATGCTACAATCATAGTAAAGCAACGTGGCTCTACCATGTAAAATATAAACTTCTTTCAGAATTTTAAAAATGTCCAAAAGTGTACTTAATATGTAACTTTTGTAAATAATACATTTTTTTTCTGTGGCAAAACTACGGTGCAGTGTACGACCGAGAAAGGATCACGCTCACACTATATCTACGGAAAATAGAGCAGCATAATGCTGCTGTGTATTTCTGGTCATCCATTTTTACTGGTTATAAGACGTTTCTTGTATGCTATCAGGGGTGACATCTCATCTGTATTTGGATTTTGCATCGAGGATAGATGTAAGTGTCTATGGGCCATAGCACCCACTTATCATTCAATGGACTGAGTAAGATTTGTAATTCTATTAAAAATCTTGGCTAGAAATGGAGCGGCAAGAGACTTTATTTTACTTATATCCGTAATAAAGAGTCCCGATGTAATGATAAATCAGATGTTCAAACAAAATGTTTGATTGCCTAAAACTGGACTTCCGGTACTCTTTTTTCATCAGATGAGCGAAAATACATATCAAAAATTCAAATAAATTTTTCTCTTGACGTAAATATGTGCGATATTCCCCCAAACAGTATCGAAACGGGGTCAATACACGTACGCTTCGATGAAATTTTCTCAATGTTTATCTCAAAGTCTAATTCTAGATAAGCTGATGATTTTCTTGTACGAGCACTGCTGAAAACATTGCACGATGCATTTTATGGTCGTTTTGGTAATAATATTTCCAAGAACCAATACCCCGATATAAGATTTCAATGTCATTCCGAATTTACAAAGTTTATGTATTTTATGATTTGATCAAATAGTTTTCTCGATTTGTAAGTTTGTGCTGCATTCTGTTGTTTACAATCGTTGAATTTTCTTCTCATTCTCTCTTTTCCTTACAGCCTCTCCCTTTGTAGGATGAATATACATTAAATTTCTCATTTGTAAAATAAATTGATGATCGTAGTAGTTACATTTCGGACGTTTGATGCGTCTGCCTGTTGTCACTTTGATTGATTTAGCATTTGCAATGTCGTCTCGTTCGTACGCAGTATATCAAATGGAGTGAAAAATTCTCATAAAATGTAATTAGTGTGAAAAATTAAGTGATAGAATAGTCGCTATAAGAATTTCCTCATAAAAACTTTCATCATATCCATCCATCCATTAAAGTCTATAAAATTCGACTGCTGAATGAAGACCTCACCCACACAGTACCCCATTGTGGGGATTTTATCATAGCATTGTTACTTAGCGGCAAAAATAAGAGGTAAGAAGATAATATCTACGAAGATAAATACTTACTCGTAACTGAAACTTATATGATGAATCGTGTAATGGTGATGTAAGAATATTCCCACTACCTTATTTCCTCCCGTAGGTGTCGTGAAAGACGACTATGGCGTATGCCAGAAAGTTCTTGTGGCTTCTGATAAATATCGGTATAGCTATTTGTTTTCTTTAACTCCACACTAGGATTTTCTGCCGTATCGTGAGGACAGTTTACATACATAAATTCCACAAGAACAAACATTCAGACCCGATACAATTATTTGTAGGTCATACAAATACTTGTTCCGTGCGGGATCCGGACAAGTAGCAATTAGCATTGCAACTCCCAAGCCATTGCGCCGCGCAGCTGAAAAAATTCCATTTACAACTGCCATATATACTCAGACATGAGGAGAGGGCAGCGTTAAAATCTGCGATACACTGCGATCGTCATGCCAATCATGGAAGATGCTCATGCCCTGAATAAACTTTTAGGAGATGATCAAGAAGATAGAATAGAATAGAATCATTTTTATTGAATATTGATGAAATGTCATTCTTATTGAAATATTTTTTTTTAGTTTCACCACTGATTCGAAACAAAAACCTGTCCTGGGAAAAACCAGCAAGAAAGCCAGCGGGACTTTTTTTTAAAGCATAACTTACGATATAATAGTTATACAATTGTTATGAAAATATTTAGAAACAGCATGGTAGCAATCACCTCATTCTCAGGGGTTATTATCAATCATGTACTCTTTAGTAGTATAATAACCCTTATTAAACATTTCTTTTATAAATTTCCTAAATAAATATTTTTAACCTTTTGATAGATAAGGTCTGCATATTTTCTGGGACTATGTTTTAAAATCGTACATATTGCCACATGCAGGAACTACTGACTCTTTGTAGTCGAGTGACTGGTATAACTAACTTGTTCTTGTATCTACAGTAGTACTTACAGAACGTACATCACTTTTTAATAAAACTATTTTGGTTATTGTGAACATACATTACATTTTCGTAAATATATTGAGAGGTCAGAATATATTTATTTACTTAAATTTTTCTCTACGGACCTTAGGGCCTAGGTTATATGTCTTTTGCAAAACAAAGTTAGTTTCAATGTCAGTCGCATTATCCCATAACAAGATTCCATATGATACTATGCTATGGAAATAACTAATCTACCTGTTTGAACACATATAAGGCCTCTAATCTTTTATAGCACATGCTGACCAACTTAGCTAGCTAGATTAAATATATGACGGTCCCTTTAAAACTCCGCGTTAGCTGTAACTTTTAAGTCGAATAATTTTAATAATTTATTTACATTAAAAAAAACCTAACATTTGATCTTTCACAGTACAGAAATAGATCTAAAATTAGTGGCATCCAATGTACTACCAGTAATATAATGGCTATAATAGCTCATGGGCGAAGCTCTCGTCGTAAATTGTTCACTGTAAGCGAATATTTTGGGTTCAATTCCCGCTGATACTAAATAAATTGATAATTGCACTTTTATGTGCTGTTTTGCCACTTGATTGACAGTAAAGGAAAACATCGTAAGAAAACCTTCATGTCTAAGTAATTAAAAAAAAATATATTTCGAAGACATGATATAAGTATATATAAATAAATATTTCTCCTAAAAGATCCAAAAGCTTAGTTTTTTTAAATCGTCAACCCTGCACTGGAATTTTCTCCTGTCACATTGAGGCAGTTTTCAAAAAAAAAAATACATAAACCAATATATTGTTCCCTGAGGGATTCGAGCCCGCGGCTCACAGTGCTGCAACTCGTTGCCAAGCTACTGTGCCACGGAGCCGTCAAAAGTCTTACTGTGGAGACCATGAATTACTAATCGGTATAATTTAACATAGGAATAATTTTGAATAAAGTCACGTATTTCTCTCGTATCCGGTACAGTTGGACCGGAAGTGCTGTTGCAAGTGGCACGCTCTTGTGCACCGTTAGCAAAACAATTCATGACAAAGTAAATTATTTATTAAAACAGGATTTTGTAGATAAACTACTAACCCTAATATTTGACATGTGTTGTATGTTAACTCGTATATTAATTATTATTGTCGGCTTTATTTATAATTACTGTATATCGCTT